CGGAGTTGTGCAGACTGTGGGGTCGGGGCTCTGGCGCGCCAAATCCTTGGTTCTGCCATACTGGCCGTTGGAGACGCTCGGTGTTCGGAGCCAGGCTCCTTTGCGGGCTTGGGCCGCAGTGATACTAGCGGGTAGGGTTGGGTTAGCTCTGAGAAGTCCAGCTGTCGTTCGAATGTCGCGGTCGCGCAGCACACGTGGGTCTTCATTGCCAGCGTCGGGCTGCTGTACTCTCAGTGGAAAAACGTCCGCAACGACTGTTTCATCCTCCACCTTGTTTTCGGTAGAGAGGTCGCTGATCACAGTCGATGGGTTCGTAGGGGCCATTGGCAGAGGACCCTTTTGCCGAATGCGCCTCATAGGTCGGGGACCTGTGGGAGGACAGGTGGGGGGGATGACGTGGTCGCCTTTTGCATTTAGTTTTGTCTCCTCTCCTTGATTGCAACTGTTGTAAAACCCACGCCACTGGTCTGCTAGACGTCGCGCATTGTGCATACCTGCATCTGCAAATGCCAGTCCTGCTTGCAATAACGTATGCAATGTAATTCCCGTGCGTCGCGATCTGCCCACGCGGCTTGTGTGGCTTGTGCGTCTGCGTCGCTTACTTGCACTTGCGCGCCACGGTGGTTGCAGAAGCGTTGTAAGGTGTGTTTGACTTGGTCTACGCTAGGCGTGTTGTCCGCATACCAACCCGGTGGTGTGTTGTGTCCAGCTGCTGCTCCCGAAACTGCCCTTCAAACGCCTCAAACCCCTCAAGCCCCTCAAACCCCTCAAACCCTTCAAACCCCTCAAACCTTGCTGCCTCAGCACCTGGGCTGTCCAACAAGGCCCCCGCGAACAACTGCCAGTCTATTAGCACAGCCAGAACAGAGGCATTGCTACTTCGTTTTCTTCTTCTTCTTCTTCTTCTTCTTCTTCTTCTGCCTCTTCTTCTTCTTCTTCTTCTTCTTCTGCTTGCCATTCTCCAGCCACGCAGATAGACCTGCGGCCGTCCACAGGAAGTGCTACGGTCAGCACCAGGGCTGCCGCAGCACAAGCCTTGCTGGCTCAGCACCTGGGCTGTCCAACAAAGCCCCCGCAAACAACTGCCAGTCTATTAGCACAGCCAGAACAGAGGCATTGCTACTATGCTTCTTGCTGCCTGTTGCTAGTGGTTGTTCTGATCTTGTGATGCTTCTGGGTCTTCTTCTTACTACTGCTGCTGTGATGTTATGAACTAGAAGCACGATTGCTTCCCCGGGGTCGGCGGCAGGGGCGGCAGCCCTTAAATCCGGGCGCCGGCCACGGGCCCGTGTCCTTGCCGGAGGCCTTCGGTGGTAACCGAAGGTTATATACGCTGGCCGCCCCTGCCGCCGACCCTTTTGTTGGACCGCGTGTATACCCCCGCCCGAAGCGTGTCGACAGATTTTTGTGTAATTTTTATGTTCTTGTGCAGGATGTTCGAAAAAGGTTCAAAAACATCGTTTTTTACAGTGTTTCGTGGCCTTCGGCGTCCACGACTGGGCGCCCGTGGTGTCGGTTATGCGTGCCGCGCGGACAGGCTTAATCGACATTTCGTTGGTGTTGGGCACATAAGTTTCCTAACATATCTCCAACATAGGCCCAAGATAGCCAACATATCCCCAACATATGCCCAACATAGCCCCCAAGATGGCTCAACATAGGGCCAACATAGGCCAACATGGGGCCAACATACGCCAACATAGGCCGAACATAGGCCCAACCTAGGCCAACATAGGCCTAACATAGGCCGACCTAGGCCCAACATAGGCTCAACTTGGGCCCAACATGTGCCCAACATAGACCACGTGGGCGCAACTTGGCCCAACCGAGGGCCAAGATGCGCACCAGATAGCTTAACTTTGCTCAAGCTTAATCGACATTTCGTGGGCGTTGGGCACACGTCAACAGCAAAGGCGGAACATGTGCTCCGAGATGATCTGAAAGAGGCCTTCAAGAGGACCTCACCTAGTCCCAGCCTATGGTACACATAGCCGCAAGATGACCCGACCTAGGTCTCACATATGGGAAACATAGCCCCTAGGCGGGCCCAGATTGCCTCAAGATGTGGCAACAGGCCTCACACAGTCTTAACTGGGCCCAGACTGCCTCAAGATGTGGCAACATAGGCCTCACACAGTCTCAAAAAGAGAGAGAGAGAGAGGGAGACAGCGAGAGAGAGAGAGAGAGACAGAGAGAGAGAGAGAGAGAGAGAAAGGGAGACAGCGAGAGAGAGAGAGAAAGAGAGACAGCGAAGACAGAGACAGTGACTACAGAGAAGACAGAGACAGAGACTACAGAGACAGAGACAGACAGAGAGAGCGGAGGGAGAGAGGAGAGACAGAGAGAGAGAGAGACAGAGAGAGAGAGAGAGAGACGGGATGGCAGGACATGTGCAAGACGGCTCTCCCGACTTCGGCGTATAGCAGGTATACGCCCGGGCGGTCAGCCCCCTTCTCGAGAAGGACGCTCCCGGGACGGTCAGCCCCCTTCTCGAGAAGGATGCTACCGGGACGCCCGAAGTCCCGGTCCCCGTCTTGCACAGGGAGGGGTTGTTCGGCCCCCCACCGATTGAAGACTTTCCCACTTTCGAGAAGGATCGGGTCAGTCTTGAGTTCCACAAGGCGAACCTCTGCGTCGCCATCCCAGTCATCCCAATTCGCTTCGGTTCTGCTTGCGCTCTTTCTAACAACTCTTGTTTTTCTTTCTGTGTACCAAAAGCTGCCTCTCGCAGTCTAGGTCCGACCAGCTCTTCGTCGCGCTTCTCGACCCAATAGCGGACGTTGTCTACCGCCCGCCGATCAAATCCAATCTCGGGACAACTGTGAATCCCTCCAAAATCCATAGTTGGCTCTTTGACCAGCGTAGAGCAACAGGCTTTGTCTAGCTGCTCCAGTTTTTCTCTCCGAGAGCCACCAGCTCTCAGTCGGCCAACTGCGTTTCGCCTTCAGTGCTCCTATACGCTTTCCTCACTCTCTCTTGCTTGCCCACATAGGGACAGAGACATCGACAGCTGCCGACAAATGCCGCGACCGAGACAGAGACGGAGACAGGGGCAAACAGAGAAGGGAAAAGCAAGGACCGCGAGAGAGAGAGAGAGAGAGAGAGAGACAAAGAAAGTGAAAGAAAGTGATACAGAAAGACAGAGAGAGAGACAGAGAGAGATACCAAGACGGAGACAGAGACAGACACAGACAACGAGAGAAAAGGGAGAGAGAGAGAATAAAAAAGACAAAGACCAAGTGACAGCGCGAGAGAAAGAGAAAGAGAACCCATCCCCACACACACCCAATTTACGCAGCTTTTTTGGATCTTACGGTTGAGTTCTCTGTCTCTCTCCTTCTCTCTAAACACACCCTCTCCCTGCTTGGCCGGCGCCCGGCTGTCAGGCGTAAGCCTCTTAAATCCGGGCGCCGGCCACGCGCACGTTCCCTTGCCGGAGGCCTTCGGTTGGTAACCGAAGGTTATATACGCTCGCCGCCCCTGCCGCCGACCCTTTTGTTGGACCGCGGGGATACCCCGTGTCGACCCCCGGTCGACCCCAGGTCGAATCCGGTCGACGGATGTATATGTATCGACCAAGTTTTTTGCGTTGGATGTTCAAAAACATCGTGTTTTACAGTGTTTCGTGGGTGTCGGCGGACACGAGTTTCGTCTAACAGGGCGTCGGTGGTGTCGGTTCTGCGTGCCGCGCGGACAGGCTTAATCGACATTTCGTGGGTGTTGTGCACATAAGTTGCCTAACATATCTCTAACATAGGCCCAAGATAGGCAACATATCCCCAACGTATGCCCAGCATAGCCTCCAAGATGGCTCACCACAGGGCCAACATAGGCAAACATAGGCCCAAGATGGCCAACATATCCTCAACGTATGCCCAACATAGCCTCCAAGATGGCTCAACACAGGGCCAACATAGGCCAACATAGGCCCAACCTAGGCCAACATAGGCCTAACATAGGCCGACCTAGGCCCAACATAGGCTCAACGTGGGCCTAAGATGTGCCCAACATAGACCACATGGGATCTTAAGTGCGGCTTTTTTGGATCTTAAGGTTGGGTTCTCTGTCTCTCTCTTTCTCTTTTTTTGAGCCTTGGTGGGGTCTATACTGACCAAAGTTTGGCCATCTGGCGCGCATCTTAGCACTAGGTTGGGCCAAGTTGGGCCCATGTGGTGTATGTTGAGCACATCTTAAACCCATGTTGCAACTATGTTACATCTATGTTAGGCATATGTTCTCCTGGGTTGGGCC